AGTGATTCTCAGATCACTATAGCTGGCTTCAGTCATATTGTTCAGAAGATTTATAGGAGATTGGATCCTTGGAAAGGAAAGCATTTAACTTCTGGGGGTAAACATATCCTGACTAATTCTTGTTTGAGTAGTATTCCTATCTATTGTATGAGGTTTTATTATCTTCAGGATGGTGTTCATAAACAAATGGATAGTATTAGAGCAAAGTTCAATTGGCAAGGGGCCGATGGCAACTTTAAGTACCATATGGCAAAATGGGAAATGGTTACCCGGCCTAAGGATCAGGGGGGGCCTAGGGATCATAAATACAAGAACTATGAATGACTGTCTGCTGGTTAAGTGGATTTGGAGGATCTTTCAGGAACCGGATGAGCTGTGGTTCAAACTGGTTAAGGCCAAATATATGTCGGAGGGAAGTTTTTTTTATTCTAATGTAAAAGGAAGCTCTCAGTTTTGGCAGGGGTTACATAAAGTCAAACACCTTTTTAAGTGGGGGGCTATTTTTAGAATTGGAGACGGACGTCACTGCAAGTTCTGGCTTGACTGTTGGTTGCATAATGTTCCTCTCTGCATTTCATATGATGACCTGTTTAAGATGGTGAGAGGGCCTAATAGTTCTGTTGCAGACTGCCTAGATGAAGGCCAATGGGTGATAGAATTCAGGAGATCCTTATCTGTAAATGAATGAAGGGCGGGCCTGGTGCAAGCGGTAGAGTCTTACCGCCTGTGACCGGAAGGTCCCGGGTTCGAGTCGCGGTCTTCTCGCATTGCACAGGCGAGGGTAAGGCTTGCCACTGACACCTTTCCCCAGACCCCGCACAGAGCGGGAGCTCTCTGCACTGGGTACGCCCTTATCTGTAAATGAATATAACAGATGGTTGGATCTGTTGGGCGAGCTTCAAGCTGTTGATTTAAACTCTAATCTAGATTCAGTTATCTGGGCTCTTGAAAGTAATAAGAGGTTCTCAACTAAATCTTTATATCGTTTCCTAACTGATTGTGGGGTAGCTAGTAAAATGGCTGGATACATTTGGAAAGCTAAACTGCCATTAAAAATCAAGGTTTTCCTGTGGCAGATTTTTAATAACAAGCTGCAGGTTGCTCAAAGTCTTATCAAAAGGGGGTGGAAAGGTAGCAGGGGTTGTTGTGTATGTGGGAAATCTGAATCGGTGGAACACATTTTCTTTAAATGCCATATTGCTAAGTTTGTTTGGAGTATGATTGAGGAAGTCTTCAACCTACGTGCTCCGAAGTCTTTGGAGGAGCTTAGTTTCTGGATTCAGGGCAAGGGGCCCTTTCCTAGTAGAATAATCATGTTTATGTTTGCAGGATTCGCTTGGGCTATTTGGACGACAAGGAACAAGATGGCAATAGATAAAAAATTTCCTAAAGCTCCTTCGGATGTCATCGATTGTGCTATATCCTTAATGCAGAAGTGGAGGCTATTGCTGAAGGAGGAAGACACGAAGCTCTTTGATCAAGCTAAAGATGATATCATGAAGTGGATGAAGAATTTCCAGCCAAGCGCCTATTCTATGTCAGACATCATGGAAATTTAGTCTTTGTAATAGGGCTTTGATTCTGCTGTTGATCTTTTGTAGCTGGTAACCCCAGCATGTTCCGTACATTTCGGTTGCTTTCTATAAAAGTAGAGGTAAAACTCTTTTAAAAAAACAATAGCGTTAGTGATTAGCTACATAGCTTCTTGTAGTTTTCTCTCTATTTTTTTCTTCTTCTTTTGGACTTGCTGTTTTTTCTTCTTGTTTTATATCTATTTATGTATATTCAGTAGGAGCAAGCTCCTCCTGTTTTCTAAAAAAACATAGATCCCACCTGCAAAAAAAATAGTATTGTTTTACTTGTTTTCTCATCCATTGATCCGTCTCATGGGCCTGTATTTCAACCTTGGACTTTCTGTGAAACTAGCTCAAGCGCGAGGGACTCCTTCCTCGCCTGCTCTCCCTTTTGCCTTTTTTTTCTTGGTAATGCTTGGTTGAGGACGTCCGAATGAATGGACGGACCGGCCCCGCGTGCGTGATGTCCAAGAAAAAAGGCACTCATCCCACTTGTTCGGGGTGCAGTTCGAGGTGCATGCAGAGCATGGGGAACCGTGCATGCGCATAACCACGGAGAGAGGCTTCCTGCGTCCGCTGTTGGGTGGACCAGCCAGCCAGGCCCCTAGCCACACGCGCCCAGGGCCGCGGGCCTCCTTGTCGCGCCTGCCCTCTACTGCCTAGCGCCTAGGCCTGTTCCTGCTTGTCGTCCTGCTCTTTTCTCTCTATGTTGTTTGCGCCCAGGCCAAGCTGCCCCTGCCGCATGCTGCATGCGAGTTTTTTATCTGGATGTTGCATATGTTGCAGTAGTTATACCATATGTTGCACATACGTTGCACGCGTATGCTTCAAATGTTCCACCTGTTTCAGACGTATGTTGCAGCAAATGCTTCATGTTGCAAGTGTTTTCATTAGCAGATGCAACATGTTTCATGCGTTACAGATGTATGTTTCATATATTTTATCTGAATGTTGCATGTGTTTCATCTAGATGTTGCAAATGTAGATCTGGTCTCCACCTGCATGCACATCCACGGGTGCACAGCACAGAAGCGAAGCGAGGGGCGCAGCAGCATGCGGGGCTCGGGCATGGGTGGTCCCCACTTGCATGCACGGGCACGTAGCAATAAAAAGCGAAACATGCAGCAGCATGCACGCCTTGCATGCATACGTGCAACACCATGTGGGGGCGAGCAGGCGGGCGCATAGTTGCAACCACATGTGGGATAGGCGAGGCAGGCGGCGGCAGGTGCAGCAAACGGTCAGACTCATCAGGCATGTGGGTTGGGCGCAACAAGCAGGGCAGGCACGGCGGCGGCAGGTGCAGCAAACGGTCAGACTCATCAGGCATGCGGGTTGGGTGCAACAGGCAGGGCAGGCACGGCGTGTCTAGGCTAGGGCTAGCGTCCAGACGTCTAGGAGCTAGTCACGTCACTTTTTTTTTTAAGAAACACATAGAGAGAAAAATGTATCACACGTGGGGACTAAATATGGGAGGTGGTTATGTTAAATTACATGATCATCTTGTGGCTAAGAGAAATCTTTTCCACCATTTTGGCGTGAATCCGATGTGAGATAGCTGCCGTGCAATCGCCGGGGACGCCCTTATTTTCTGAAGAAGATTTGGAAGATTTGCTGGTTACATGGGTCATATACCTATTTTTGTAGCTGTGGGTGCTATTTTTACCATTATATTTTTTTTTGAGGAACATTTTTACCATTATCTAATAAAAAAAATCTGAAAACTGCCCTCACAGCCCACAAGCCCATAACAACTGTAAACTGTTCCGTCATTTGCTACCCACTATGCATATGCAGCAGAAAAACAGGCAAACCATTTTGCCAACCCCTGCCTTGCAGAGGTGCAGTCCCAGGCAATCGGCGATAGTTAACACTTTCCGAGCCCAGCATGGAAACATTCTGCCAAATGATGTCAGAAAGAAGAGTCGCGGCGCAACACGGGTCAGACACTGCTGCCACTAGAACGAACAGAGTATTTGCAAAGCAACATCAACTCCAGTCTCAAGGGGCCGTGTTCAGCATGGAGCAACATCAGGCGCTGCAGAATGCTGCAATAGCAGTATCAGGCAGCACAAACAAAGGCACCATAGAAATGTACAACTGTTACCAACCACCAAAAGCAGGGTTATTTCTCATGTAAGCACGAAGCTATTCAACATTAAGTTCGTCTCGCACTATCTTAGGCAAAACAAATTATGAACCTTTGGCATTGCTGAATGCTGACTCTAACTGTATCACAATAGTCAATAGAATAAGCCTGAGGGGAAAAGATTACTCTGTGTAACACCAGTACACCACCGATATAACGATGAATGCATTTGGGAGAAGAAAAAACACTCTTCCTTGAAAACCAACATTTCAATTTAGTAAAATAAAAGTTGGGTCAGCCCTTTGTTTAGCAATAAGGCTCCCATATAACAAATACAATTCCACCAAACAACCTAATAAAAAGGAAATCAAGCCAAGGAGAGAGTGCTTTGTGGAAAATCCAAGGGACATTTAGTCATTATTAAATAAATAAGCTCAATAACTACCGACAAGAAGCAATCACCCATGAAACAAATCATCAAAGTCATACAATCATTCATTTTTTTCTTAGATTGTAGATCCAGGTAACCACTCCAAAAACTAACAAGTAAACAAGTCATTACTGACAGTGAACACCGCCCGCAAACACGGCTGCTGTCCACAAATTAGCATGTGAAACAATAATGGTGAAGAAGATAAACTCATAACAGAGAATGCCAATACGCTGAAGGATTAATCTCATCCCAACTTTATACGAATGTTCTTATCAAGAGTGTGGATCCATATAAATAAAGTATTGCACGTAGATAGCTGATAGCAGATCCACTAGCATGCTGAAACGCATACTCAGCCTCCATTGACCAAAGTCTTGGCCCTCCACTTTGGAAAAATGGAGAAGAAAGAACATCGCTATCAACATCATCTTCCATTTCATCTTGTATTCAAACTTTGTCAACCCATTTGTGCAGGCCGCAGACACACTCATACATCAATCCCTTTTGATTAGTCCATACATCCACTACCAATAAAGCAGCCCCCACCACAAAGTGTATGGCTAGTGCACTACAGAGCCGGAAAGGAACATTATGAGAGCATGCCAGACTCTTTAGCAGCTCTCTCCATCACTCACACTCATAGGGGGCATTGAAAGATGTAGGAGCATGAGCAGGTTATTGCTTACCATATCCTTGTAATTAAAGCACCTTTGAACAAAAGATCGGAAAGGGAAAGGCGATATCATATACCATTGGTACAACTTCAAGTGGAGAGGATCTGGATCTTTAGGTCTTTTCCTGCCTCCTTGTTAGTGAATCGAAACCGGCATTTCTATCTTAAACTTTGATAGGTTAACGCCTGCTAGTAGTCGTAAGGATGCATGTTACGGTTGCTGCCACTATACTACGAAGGAGTGTTAGGTTCTGGTTTCACTGGTTGTCCATCCTGTGAATGTTGTGTGTCATAGATTGCCATGGCGAGCGAGATGGGCATCATGCAGAGTGCCTTGGACTGGAGAAATTGCATTGCTGCCCCAATGTCTTCTTCCATCAGCTTTGCGACCTGTCTTTCTGTGCCATCCGTTGACCACTTTTCCCAAATCTGCTGTTTGCTCCCACTGTCACTTGCTTCCCCCTAATGAAATCAAAGGAAGATCCAATTCAACAACCAATAGATACGAAAATATCGAGATGGAAAAGGACATTCAAATTAAAATTTCAAGTCACAACACGGTCATTCGAGAAACTCGTTATATTATAGCAACCTGAGGATATGCAAGGTGTCAGAAATTGGGCTTTGAAGCGGGGTTAGGGCATATGCCTACGATGAAGCATACCAAAAAAAAAAAACTAGATGCCATAGAGATAGTGATGGTAAATCAAGAAAGTATGGCTGGCATACTTCATCAAGCTGCTGTATAGTGAAGATGAAATAATTTGTTGGTTTGAACTGTCGGCCTACAGTGGTCGTCACTGAGTAGTAGAAACAATTTGTATTGACATAAAAAAAACATATCATAAAATGAGTAAAAACTAATGATTCAAACAAGATGATGAATGGACCGCGCCTTTAAACACCTTGCCTAGAAAGCACATGAGAGAAACTTCAACAAGAGAAACATGTATGTCAATGACAAACTCCTAAAGGCATTTACAAATTGTAAATGAAATTACTCTTGCAAGAAAAAAACAACCAAAATGTATGTTGTGTCCTGATAACAGGATACATAGCATATTTGAAGCAAACCTGTTATTAGTTGCAATTCTAAAAAAGTAACAATTATCAAGTGTCGGTATGAAAACCAGGATCATAAACGTTTCGAGTTTGAACACCAAGCTGATGTACAAGGCTATGTATTCCGAATCAGCATTCAACAAAATGAAAAAAAATGGCAATGGTTAAGGGTTTAAAACTTTGAAGAGTTATAGTTAAGATTTACAAAACCACACAAAAGAGCAATTGGTTTACAGTTTATCACAGTTATAGCGATACGATGATGCCTTGATTTTGATATGGCAGAACAAATAATCAAGAGCACAAGCAAATTATGCTGATAATCTCATGGCAGTAAAAGTGAAGTTACCAGAGGGCAATAGTCAGTAGTCACAAATCACAGGCTTACCTTAACTGAAAGTGGGATATCAGCAACCAGCTGGGCCACAGCACCAGCACCGCCCAGCCTGCTCATGCTTAGAACCTAACGTTACAGAATCAAGGTCCCATCAGTGATCAAACAAGTAACTCAACTGGTGGTTAATATTCGAAGATGTTAGCATATTGAGCCGAACCTTGACTTGAAGCCTCAGAAACTTCACATAATCAAGGATCTCATCTAGCATAGCTGCCCTATCTGTCTGCATAGTTTAAAAATGAAACATAATATCAGAAGTTTCTCTGTGTCATCTTTTAACCTTACATGATGAATGACACTCTGGATCTGGGAATTCAAAATCATGTGTTGTCCCAAATATTTACATAATCCTAAGGATACATGCTTGCTTATCTCAAAAGTAAAGGCATACTACACTCATGTAGCACAATTCCCGGTGAGATGACAATAAGTTCTTCAAAAGCACAGGACTTGATTGTCAACATGACAATGAGGAACAAGCACAACAATAATATAATATCGTCATAACATCATAGCCTAGATCACTTGCTGAGATTCTGCCAGTGGCAGCCATGTGAACTATAGGACTATAGGGTCTTTGCCTATATAATAACACCTACAAGTATGGTAACATTAATACCTTGTTTGTATTGGGCACCAATTCCTGTAGGGCCCTCGTCCTTTCTGCTATTCTCTCTCTTCTTAGCTGCAGTAGATCAAATATCATTATCTAAAAAAAATATGGTTCAAAACATTGCTGAATAAGAAGATAGAGGACTGTAAAACGAGAGGAAATGAAAAGCGAAAAACACAGATCTTAAACTAGGTGGGACATCCATAAGTGTAAGCACAAGCAGCAGGCATAATTCTCCTGCTATCAGAAGCATGTTACTGAAGTTCAAAGCAAGCAGCTACCTTAAAGGAAAAGCATATGCTACATGACTGCAACATATATATAGAACATGAATCATCCTACAATACAACGGCATGGCAGCTGAGACTTAAGGAAAGACACGGCATGCCCCCGGGCCCCAGCACCGCTAAACTGCAGCACATAATCTAGCTTAACACAATCAGCCCTCTTTGAACCTGTGGTTACTGAATACTGATTGCTTGCAACCAAAGAAAATGCAGAGCATTGAAAACCAGAGATGGGACAATTTGAAGCTGATTGGTCAATCACAGAGTGCAAAACGAGACATGTGACAAATGATTGCCTGAGCATGTTGAAAAAAGTCAAAACACTGCCTACGAGTACTGTATCAGTCAGCAACCCATTTCTAAACCACGAAAAACACTGAACCGAAATCTATAATAACACCCGGCCTAAAAAATATCAGGTTATGACTTGTACAGATCACGTATCAGAACAACATTAACTGTGAAATGGCACAGTTACTCGATTTTTAACTGCAGAGATCGTTTCGTTACCCTCTCCGCGATGCTGTGGGGATCCGTCGCCTGCCCACGCCGCGCCCGCACCTTTGGCCTCGGCGCCGACGGTTGTGGCCCGACACCCGCCCCGCCTTGCTTCGGCTGCTGCGCGTGGAACACCTAAAACCCAGCCAAAACACACCAAAAAAAAAAAAATGGCACAGTTAGGGGGGAAAAGCGCTGCAAATTAGCCACAAACACGCATGATTTTACACCCCTGCTGCAGCGTGCATAGTACCTGGGTAGGCGGGTTGGGGCGGAGGTGGGGCGGCTGCACACCGCCGCCAAACACTGGCGGGAAGAGCCCGGGGAGCTGCACAGCCTCCCGATCCTGCAGAGGCGAGCGAAGAGCTTAGCACACAGCACGCACGCGCTCGTGTTTGGTAGGTGCAAGTGCAAAGGCGAAAAGCCAGAAAAGGAGAAAGCGGGCACGATGGCGGGGCGCTCACCGACTTGGCACCGTCGGCGTGCTTCCCGCTTCCGGAAGCCTCGGCGGCAGCGGCATCGAGGCTGAGCGCAAGGGAGAAGGGCTGGTCCCCTGGTGCGCGCCCGCCGCCCGCGGCCGCGCCGGGGTAGGAGCCGCCACCCGCCATGGAGAAGAACTGGTCGAAGAAATCGTCTTCTGGGCCCTGCGGCCGCGGTTGCCCGGCCATGTCCACTGTGCCCGCCGGCAACGGTAACTGGTTGCTCGGCCTCGCTCTCCAGCTGCCGCCGAGTGAAGTGGGGATCGAGGACTGGGGGGTGAGTCGCTTCGCCTTTTATTCACTCTCCCGGTCGCCTCATGGCGAGGTGGGCCCTTAGCCTCATGTGGGCTGAGACGTCAGGCGTGGGTAGTGAGCACGGTAAAAGGATGGTAGTAAATGGACCGATCGCCGGCGCAAGTTCTTGCTCTGGCAAAGGAAGAATTGTTCGCCTTCGGTTATGTAATGACAGGCCTTTCTCGGTATGTGTACATCTTTTTGGTGCCTATGTATTTTTATTATATGGTATTTTGGTTTGAGAAATGAGTTTATCAACTTGTCACTTTTCATCATTTTTTATTTGGTTAGCGAAATGGAATGAGTTGATCTATCATCGCTTTATTCTTCACAAGTTAATAATTAGTACTTCGTCAATTTCAAATTATAAGATATTTTGGCTTTTTAGGTTAGAGTTTTTACTATGTGCTTAGATATACACTATGCTTAGATTTGTATCTAGAAAACCAAAACATCTTATAATTTGCAATGGAGAGAGTGACAGTATGAGAAATGGAGTTGTTCCATCAAATTTGAGAAATAGAGTCATGATGCATCACCTCATCTAAAATGATTTGATTTCTCAAACCAAACTCCTAAGTTTTCTACCCATTCATTCAGAATTATAAATTTTTTTGGCTTTTCTAGGTATATAGTTTTTGCTATGTATTTAAGTATACAATATGTCTAGATACATAATAAAAATAATGCATCTAGAGGTCAAAATGTCTAATAATTTTAAACAGTGGGAGCAAGTAATAAGATTATAAGACCTTACGACATTGTAACCATCACCTCTCTGCTATTTTTTTCAAAAAAATGTTTCTTATAGGAAAAAAAGTCATTTTAACCATCATCAACTAAGTTTGGTCCCCATTTCTCTACCTCACCTATAACCAAAAAAAACAGAAGGCTTTAACTTTTAAAACCGTTATTTTGTCTAGATGGCAATTTCGATCTATACAACACCGACATCACGTCAGCTATCACAAACTGTGCGTATTTCGTTTTGGAATGATTCACCAGGGAGTCTGCAAAACTCCCCTAACTGCAATTTGGGTCGCATGTCGCCAAGTCGGCAACTGTCTGCTACGCTGCTCGCTCTCCCGCTGCAACCGGCCGGCGGCGGTATGACGTGAGGCCGTTTGCTCGTCGGCGAGCGAGTGGAACACGGGACCATGGGCCTGAATTCGGGCCTATTGGGCTTTAACTGCGCCGAAGAAATGGTAGATCCACTCCGTCCAACCGTGCATGTGGAGAAGAGAACATTTGGTCCAAGATACGGAGCCCATGCAAGGCCCAGGGTTTCGATACAACATTAGTTAAAGACATTTCAAATGTCAGGGTCCTCAGTGATTGTTTGTTGATCGCGACCTCGCAGGCGGCGACAACTTCACTGTGCCTCAAAGTTCAAATTGAGCAGCATTACCACTTTACCAGTAAAAGAGAACTTGAAACTCGTTAAATCAATCAAAAAATGAATCTCGATAAAAACACATGGCCTACGCGGCTAGGCCCACATGTCACCTAGTATAGCTTGAAAAGGCTCTTTGGTTGACTGTAACCCCGCCGTACACGTGTAGATTGCCAAACCGTGGTCGATATCATCCTTCGCAGTAGGCGCCTTCTTCGACGACTAAGGTGAATTCAACGAGAGGAGAATAGCTGCTAATAATTAGTTTCTTATAAATTTAAATATGTCTACCTAATAGTTTAGCTAGTTGTTCGTTGCAAACTCAACTAATAACTATTTTAATGAGAGGAGAATAGCCGCTAATAATTAGTTTCTTATAAATTCAAATATGTCTAGCTAATAGTTTAGCTAGTTATTAGCTGCAAATTCAACTAATAACTATTTTACTAGTTAAAATAAAGTAGCTAATCATAGTTATGATCTAGCTAGCTGACTATCAGCAGATAATGGATCCGGACACACCAAACTCATACTGCTCCAACATATACGTTCACACTACTAGAAATCCCTATGACCCAATGTTCAGGTATTTTTGTTTTATCATAAAAGTCAACTTCTTCAATTTTAACCAAATTATAGAAAATATGCGTACGATACTAATTGTTCACCAAAAAGCTATATAAACAATGTTTAAGAAACAGTGAGAAAACTTTGGCCCAACTTTTTTTTTTTGCATTGTCCTTATTTGCCAAAGCTTGTTGAAACTTTTTGGGAGTGGCCCATCTTATTCGAGGTGAACTCCTAGGCACTCTTTCATCCTTTAAGGACCAGATATGGCGACCTTTCTTTCTTTATGGAGATCATAGTTAGTTGCTATGTGTCGGTCAATATGGTCTGCCAAAAAATAATAAGATTTTCAGAAAATATGCAGCATTCAGCTTCAGGAAAGAACTTGCTCTAGTTATGCTAAGAGCAATGTCCAAATATCAACCGTTATTTAATACTCCCTCCATTCTAAATTATATATCACTTTGACTTCTTTTTACATTAATGTTGCTATATATCTAGATATATTATTATATCTAAGGGCATGTTCGCTTGAACTATTTTTCAGCCGAGTCAGCCTATTTCAGCTTATTCTCCCTCACAGAACACTATTGAATCAGCCGAAACCAACCGGCTTATATACCAGCTGAACATGCCTGTTCGCTGATTTGTTGTGAGAGAAAAATATTGTACTATGACTGATAAGTTCAAGCGAACAGGGCCTACATACATAGCAAGTGAATGTACCAAAAAAATTAAAGCGACTTATAATTTACAATGGAGGGAGCAGATGGCTAGACGATCTTGTGTAATTTTACTTGTTTTCTTTGTCTCTTTTTATGTTTCTTGATATGATGTATTTGTACTTTTTACCATTTATTAATTAATTCAAGTAGAGGGCAACCCATCGTGTTTCATAAAAAAGAAATAAACAAAGTCAAACTATATCGTTTATGACCTAAATGGTCCATTAAATGATTGGCCCGTTTAAACCTCTACAACAATGTAAATGGACCGAACGTAATAGATTTTTTTTTCCGAGACCAGTTACAGACGTAGGCGTTCACATACACGAGCACACACTCACCCCTATGAATGCACGCACGCACATCCTACCCTATGAGCATCTCCGAAGAACTGAGTTGGACTAGCAAATCTCAAGATTGGCGAAGTCACCACAGACGCCTCGCTGTCGACGGACACGTCGTCTACCACTGAAAAAATAGCGTCATTAAATTCTGAAATAAATCTAGGAAAATACGAGCACACATGTCAAGTCGAGGATTTGAATCCGGGTGAGCAGGTTCCACCACAAGGAAACCAACCAGCTGAGCTACGCTCGAATAAATAGTCATGTGATTCACTGTTTAGTCAATAAAAAGATTATAACTACCACATTGGCGCTCAACAAATTAGGATTGTAAATATATAAGGTGAAGTAGGATTCACTTTCCTTTAAAAGATATTTTCTAGAAAAACATATTTTTTACATACATAAATATTTATTTTTTATATTTGAATTTTACATGCATAAATAGGTACTCCCTCTATCCCTTTTTAGATGTCGCCTAGATTTTTGTATTAATAAAAAAAATTGAATTTTACTAAGTTTATAGAAAAACATTAGTAACATTTGTATCTCCAAATAAGTGTATCATAAAAATATATTCAATGATTAATCTAATAATATCTATTACGCACCATAAATATTAGTAATCTCTTGTATATATTTGATCAAAATTGAGTATATTTGACTCCTCGATATATGAGAACCATAATTAAAACGGGATAGAGGACGTAACTTTTAGTAGCAATATAAAAAACTGATTAGACCACTTAACTCTGTTTAAACACTGTCTAAATGGCAAAGGGAGATCAACTTTTTACCGTTCAACATTTAAAACAACACCGACTATACCAAATAAATACACTATCTACTTGGAGATCTTACAATGAGCTGGGAAGCTCTGAACGATTCGAGATGCCAATTTTTACTTGGCAAATTAAGATAGTAGTTTAGTTTTCACCCTCTCTCGGCTGAATAATCCTGAAACGCACACATATGAAACCTTCAAAGTTTAAGCCGTGAAGGTGATACGATGATGGTGCACACGGTGTAGTATTGCCAGGAAGTGCCGCCAGTCGGGATTGATTGATGGGTGCATTTGGCACCAATTTTTAATGGAGTATCTTGGTTTACAGTTCTTATCCTGCACCAAGTGCCAGCTGTATTCCCTTTTGAACTGATAGCATCTGATAACTAAAAAAATTGACATTGTTTACAGGAGAGTTCCTCCATCTCCTGCCGGCCGGGATTGTGTCACCGACATTCAGATCAACGCCAAGGCGGATCTGCGAACTTCATTCTGCTTATTGTAAGGAACTTCAGTTAATACTGTGTTACAGAGAAGGGGCACGAAATAGTCACAAAACTAATAAGAAAGTATTGGAACTGTCTAAGAATTCTACCCTTGTAATTTTCTTAACTTCTTAATTCTGGATTTTAGTGGCATTCATCCCAATTAGAGTGAAGAATGTAATAAGGATTTGTTTTCTATATATGGTATCATCTAGGTATTTGTTGATCGTTGTGTTGGTTGGGTGCCCGTGTATTGCATATACACCTCTTGTATTATTGGCGCTTGAAAAAAATAGATATCGGAGATTAATAAAATGTATTGGTGCACGAAAAAAATAAGCGGCGGAACTTACTCGTGGATTTATTGGCTCACGAAAAATGGATATCGAAGATTTCTTCCTGCCGATATAAAACATTATCTTAGCCACATCACGGAAAGGTCTAGCCTACAACGCCGTGCTCCTCGTGACTGTGTTAATTTTACAAACTTTGCTTTTTGGATTAAATGTCACTTTAACGCTGGTATTTAATTTCACGGTATTGTTATCTTATTGTGCGATCCGTGTATTTTTAGTACAAAAGTTTAGCTGTCCCATA